TTTGGCAAGGACATGCTACATGCTACATGCTACATGCTACAGCCACGCCCACACCCATGGCCACGCCCATGTTTGCCTTTTGGGCTCAGTATCTTTTTTGCAGCGTGTGGGTCTGGCTTTATTGCTATCTCTGTTGCTCTGCCCGTGGCTGAGTTCCCCGAGTTCCTGACTTGCTCCTTGCTGTGCTGTCATAATTTTTGATTTGCTTGTTTTATTTGATGTCCTTTGGCTGTTGCTGTGCTGCTGCTTCTGCTTCTGCTGCTGCTGCTGCTGCCAGGCGCTGTCTTCGCTTTGCTAAGCTGCCTCCAGCTTAGAGAAAAACAATTTTGCAAAATTTATTTTATAGCAAAATTATGCCAAACATTTCGAGAATGTTTCTATGTAGTGGCTGTTCTTGCTATGAAGGCCATTTGTGACACACATAAATACACACACAAACACATGCCACATGTGTGCGAGTGAGTGTGTGCGTGTGTAAGCGGGTCGAGCTACGCTCTCACAAAATTTATTTAAGAATTGTAAGTATTTCTGCTGTGGTAGCTGCGAAATTTGTGCCATCAACTTGACTTGAAATTATTTGCTTGGGCAACCCACTGGACCCACTGTGAGCACCACCCCGCCGCTCGCTTTGCTCTTACATAAACTTGGATAATGTAGCGCAAATAGTTGCTTATTATTTATGCTGCTTTATTGCCCTCCAGCCTCAGCCTCAGCCTCAGCCTCAGCCTCATCCTCAGCCGCCACTGCTCTGGCCCACAATATCTTTTGCTTTTCGAGCAATTTGTTTGTTTGCTAGACAAAAATTAGTTGGCATATTTCTCTTGTTAATTAGTGGTGCGTGAAATTGAGCCCGAGTTTATGTCTACCAGTCTGTGTGCTCTGGGGCAGCGCTTTAAGATGGTCCGTGGAAAATCCTTTCATCTAAAATTGATTGATCGAACTGAGCGGGAATGTATAATCATGGGAAGCTTTGCTCTGTGCCCGGCGATACATGGAATCGCATATACATTTATCGCAAAATACATTGCTGCAATTATCTGTATCTTAAAGATACGTGGCTTGAATGTGTGTGTATGCCTGTGTGTGTGTGTGTGTGGCTGCGCCCCACGCCTACTTTCGCGCAGTCTATTTAAGTTAATTAAATTCCAGTCTATGCGCCAGACACCGAGCGCAGATAGCAGCAACTTTATTTGCAGACAGCGCGTCGTTTTTGATAACCCACACAAAGGAACAGACACAGACACACTCACACACTCACACTCGCAGGCGCCCACACACATGCAGAGATAAGTGTGTGCATGCAAAGATAAGTGTGCATGTAACTAAAGCCAGAGCAGGAGTCCTTCTGGCCAAAGCACCGTCCAATGTTACAATGTTTACAATGAGTCTTACAAAATAATCAACATAAAAGCTTCAGTTACTTATTAGACGAAAATATAAGAGAGTACAGTACGTAAAAATGTATACATATAAATGTATATATGTATATGTAGTCATATATATGGCTATAAGCTAAAGCTAGAAATTAAGTATACGTTATGAGTGCAGGGCCTGGCCTTGCCTTGCCACTGCTCGTTGCAGTGGCAGTTGCAATTGCCGTTGCTGTTGCAGTTGCAGCTAAGTACATAAGAAACGAGGTGCTTAAGATAGTACAAATAAAATACGAATTCAATTAAAAGGCGGCAAATATCAAATGAAAATAAAACACAACAAAACTTGAACTTAAGCAGCTAAGTACACACACAAAGGGGGAGAGACAGTTGGTGGGGGGAACATGCAACACAAACAAGGATGCCGCAAGACAAAGGACGGTGAGACAACAACAACAATAACGATACGAGGCAAGAGTAACAACAACGAAACATGCTACAGGTTGACGCAACATGCGTAAGAGATGCGGGACTGCGCCTAGGGCTTACTCACAGTTTGCTGCGCTGAGGTGACATTCGATGGCGCGATATTCTGTCCATGCTGCAGATACACTAATGGCCCACTGTTGCTCCCAGTGCCAGTGGCCCCGCCACTCGCCGACGCCGACGCCGACGCCGACGCCTTCGGCTGCTGCACAATGGGCGGCTGCTGTGCGGGCATGACGGCGGCGCCTTTGTCAAACTGATAGTACATGACATCGTTGGCGGGCGCCGAGCCACCGTACAGGGGCGCTGGCGGTGGCGGGGGATCCGCTGTCTGGGCGCCCGAAATGTGATACGCGCTGGCCAGCTGCCTGGGCGAGCCAGTGCCGGAGCCGGTGCCCGAACCGTTGCCTGAGCCGTTGCCAGATCCAGAGCCAGAGCTGCTGTTGTTAGCAAGGCCCGGCGGCATCTGCGGCATTTTGTAGTTGTAGATGTAGGGACGGTCGTACTCGCCGCCATGGATGTAGGACAAGAAAAGATCAGATTTGGCCGGCTGCAGGCCAAAGCCACCGATGTGTGGGGCGCCACCAGCTCCGCGCTGGCCCAGCGCACGATTGTAGCCAGCGTTGGAGACGCTGCTGCTAGCATAGTGGATGGGATAGCAGCTGGCATTGGCCAGCTGAGAGCTGCCGCCCACTGCACCACCGGTGAGCAGCTGCGTCTTTGTCAGACTCTGGCCGGATAGACGACGCGTGGGCACGCCAATATCCGATTTGGCATCGCGCCGCTTGACCTGCGCCGCACTGGACGATGGGCCTTGGTAATAGTATGGGGCAGCCGGATTGTTTGGCCACTCGACGAAGCTGCGTTGCCTGCTGAAAGCACCACCACCACCACCACTAGCTGACACCATGTTACCCGTGAGATTGCTGCTGCTGTTGCAGCTGGCAACGCCGCCGCCGCCCGACCCTTTGCCCAGCGCATTGTTCAAACTGAACTTGTACTGATTATTCTCAAAGGTCGTGTAACTTAGCAGACGATTGCCGGCGCCGGCGTTGCTGCTGCTGCCGCCCGAAGATGAGTTCGGCGGCGTTGAGTTAGTAGCTGAGGCAGATGCGCTATGCACCGGTGCCAGGCTCGGGTTGGGATTGTGATTCGGGTTAGTGGACGAGGAGGAAGCGTATTTGTAATTGGGCTTCTGCTGGCGCTGCTGTTGTGCGAATAGTGAGCGCTGCTGTTGCTGTTGATTACTCACAGTCTGTTGCATGAGGCTGTTGTAGCCGCCGTTGTTGCCGCCGCCGCCGCCACCACCACCACCACCACCACCGGCGCTGCCAATCGACTTGCGGTGGCTGCCACTTGAGGCGCCGGAGGATTTGTTGGTGCCATAGCGTGTGCTGTCGCTGGACCTGCCAAAGATTCAAAACAATAGACGGTGAAACAATGTGGAAGAAGAAGTTTCAAGTGATTAAAGTTATCATAGTCGTGGGTCAATTACCTTTCCGAGGAGTAGGCATAGTCCTGATCGGCACCCAGTCCCGAGTCCGTGTGCTCATGCGAAACGCGCAGCGCTGAGTTCTCCAAGGGGCTCAGATTGGAGCCGGTGGGTGAGATGAAGTCACCCATGCTCATGCTAGACATCATGCTGCGAGCGATCAAACAAACGAGATATGGAGAGATGTGAATTCCGACGACTTTCCCTTGCGATTCGCTCTTGGGACTTACCGCACTAGGCCATGCCCATTGTTGCGCTCGCATTCGCGCGAGGAGATTGTGCTCGCCGAGCGTATGGATCCGTTCTTGGGTGCGCCACCGCTGCCGCCCACGCCGCCGACATTGCTATCATGCGGATGAGAGCTTTGGTAGTAGAGTCTACAAATCGGCAATATGAGAAACTGCCCGAAGCAGTCCTAAAACTCTGTGGCTTAACTCACCCTCGAATGCGATCCACTCGATTCTTCGCCTGCCCAGCTCCGGCCGAGCCGCTGCCATTTGTGATTGTGTTGCCCGATCCGGTGCTCTTGGCGCCCACGCTGCTCTTGCTGTTGCTCTTGTGGATCTTCAGATTGGAGTTGGAGCGCTTCGAGGTCGTCTCCACCACGGTGTAGGGAATCTCGCGCAGCTGCTGCTCCGACATGCCGGCGGTATCCACCAGATCAAACTGCAGGTGCTTGGCCAGCTCGCTGTTCCACATGCGACTGCGGGACTCCGACGGAGATCTGTGGGTTAAACAATGTAGACTTCGAAATTTCGATTGACCCACCCAGTTGCCTTACTTGTTCTTGCGGTGCCGACGCGACTTGTGGTGCGAATGCGTGTCCGAGTGGCTGTCGTTGCTGTGCAGACTGCGTGCCACCATGCTGCTCTTGGACACGGACGCCTGCTGCACGGAGCTCTGGCCCAGACTCGCCTCCGCCTGTCGGCGTTGCACCTCGCGCCACTGCGTGGTTGAGTCAATCAGCTCGGCGCTGCCGCTGCGCATGGACGAGCTGCGATGGCCCGAGTAACTGCGTCCCCTGGTGCTGTCATGATCCGAGCCACCAGCCGAGTCGCGTCGATGCCGATGCGAGCGCCGATGCTTGCGATGATGCGAACGTCCCGAGCGACCCGAGCCACGCGACAGCTCGCTCTCATTGTCGGAGGTGCGGCGATGGCGATGCTTGTGTCTGTGGGAGTGGAGCACGTGAGTCTCTCGGTGTGATAATGGGAAGCCATCTGGACTTACCGGCGTGTGGAGCGCGAATCGTTTGATGAATGACTCTCCACGGAGCTGGAGCGATAACGCTGCTGCTGCTGATGCGAGGCGGATGAGGAGCTGGCGCGCTGCTGCCGCTGCTGATGATGCGACGACGACGAAGATTGCTGATGATGATGATGATGACTCGTACCATGGCCATGGCTATGACTGTGGTGATGATGCAGCCCGCCGCCCGTGGTGCTCACCGAGCGCACCGAGCGCGGACTTGACGGATTGTGGCCGAAGAGCGAACGCTGCTGGGATCTCGGCCAGGGTGCGCTGCGCGTGCTGCGCGGCGAGTCAGGTGTCTGCAAATTGCTGCCATTGTTGTTGTAGCTGCTGGAGTTGTTGTTCTGCTGTGCGGACTGCTGATGGCTGGGCCGCACACCCAAGCTGGTGGGTATGCTGTACGTGGAGCGGTAGGGGCTGTCGTAGTTGCTGCAAAGCCAACAAATGTGGGCAGGGTATACATAGAGAGTGAGAGACAGACAGAGGGAGGGCGAGGGAGAGAGGAAGGTGGATAGTATCAGTCAGCAATTGCAACGCTCTCTCGCATTATTTTGCCATAAATTTAAATTGTTTAACATAAACGTTGATTAAAGTCTGCAGCATCGCAGCATTTAGGCTGTCGCTTGAATGGCCTCTGTCTGAGGATCGGGGCTTGCCAGGAGGATCGTCCTCACCCAKCCAGCCAGTCAGATCGACACAGACAAATAATGCGCGTGTGTAAAATTGAGTAATTGCCGCACTGGCAATCAGCGGGCAATCATTTCGAGCTCCCCATCGYAACAGACATGGACATGGACATGCACTTGGCTGTGGACTCCCCGGACGTGCCATTGCTCCGGTCGCGCCTTGTGATTTATGTCCCGCTTGCCCATGGTGTGGGCAACTTGATTGGCCTGTCCTGGCTGCCACTGCGCCCGCTGCCTGACGTTTGGCTTCTTTGTTTGCAAATGATAAACGACGTGAGCGTCTAGCGTCTAGTTCTTAGTTCTCAGCTCTCAGTTCTCAGTTCTCAGTTCTACAATTCAGTTCGCCTCAGCCCAGTGCTGATCTACGCGTTCCTGTGTTCCTAGGAAATGTTGCGCCAGCGATTACATTTGTGCGCTGCCACAGCTCGTAGGCTCTATTACCATCAGGGCTAATTTATGCATGGCTGCTGGTGGCTTCTGCGCCAGCGACATTGATGGGGTCAACGAGGGCCTTTGCCACTGCTCACTGTAAATGATTTGACTCGAAATCCACTGATACTCACTAGAGTCTTGCATGGCTATCTTTCTATCTATCTGTGAGTTAATATTTCTCATTCATTTGACTAATGTTCAATTGATCTCTGTACAGTATTCAGCTACATAATATCCCTCTCCTTACAGAAATTTCTTGACTAATGCAGAGTTGATCTCTGCACAGTGTTCCATTTCAAGAAATTTCCTTAAAGAAATTTCCTGAACAACTAGCGAATCACGTTTACCCCTCCTCATACATATACTATACTATGTATATAAATCTTGTTGTTGCCGACGTATGACTCAATTTCCATTAAAATCTCGCTCTCCTTGGTATAACATCTTGGCAACATTTCCGTTAACGCTAATGCCAACGCCATAGCTTTTCTAATGGCTGATTTTTATTTGTCCATATATAATTTGATGTTCAGAACCATAAAACATTTAATAAATGTTGCGTCTAGACAATGTAACTGCCTTCAAATGGCAACTAAATGGATTTTGAGCACGAAATCGAAAAAAAGGGCAGCACAAGAACACATGCCACAGGAGCACCACTTGGATGAGGACATCGCAACAACAACAATAACAATAACATTCACTAAAACAATGTGAAGGCGGCGGCCTGTCAAACACAACTCACACACACACACACACACACATGGACACATGGGGCATGATGAAGTGTTTTGTGCATTGTTGTTTTCGCTTTTGGTATTTTTTTTTTTTTTTTTTGTAAATTCAAGTGATACAATAGAAGGAAAGAAATGAAACAGAGAGCGAGAGAAAGAGAGGGCGACAGTTTCACTATGCCAAAACTGGGAAACTGCATATAAATTTTCCCCTTGGGGAGCAGATACCGTATTTTGGGGCGGCTGCTGCAGACAGCCTCAAAAAACAAAATTCACATGCCGAAAATTAAAAACAGATCAAAGGAAGATGCTGCAATGAGCAACATGAGAGCACTTCCGGCCGGCGCGACTCCACAGAATTATGACCGAAACAAGAATTGGCCAAAAAAAAAGAAAAAACATAGATAAACAAAAAAAAAAAAGGGACAACTGCGCCAAAAGAAGTGTATAAAGGGACTATACATATATGTATATGCATATATGCAAGTATATACCGACATATAGAGAACTGATGCTGGGTAAATCAAAACTTTTGTGCATGAAATGAAAACAAATGATGGATATTTGGAGTACTCACTTGGCGTTGGCATTGCCATTGGTGTTGGCCAGGCTCTGGAGGGGCAGCGGCTGGGATGGCAGGGGTCGGTTGGCAATGTGGATGCCAGCGACGCCGCCAGCTCCACCTCCGCCGTTGCTGTTGAAAAAGTCATCAATCACGCGTCGGGGCTGGCGCTTGGAGGGCACGCGCGTAAAGGCGGGCGGCGAACGTCCGGCAGCAAGTGCATCCTTCTCCATTTGCTTGTCCGAGCGACTTTGGTTGTGGGTTGGTTGGGTTGGGGCAGACATGCGATTGTTGGGCAACATAAAAGTAGGCATGAAGGCGTCCAAAAATATTAACAGAAATAGGCAACAGAAAAACAGAAAAACAGAAAAATAAAAACAATAATAGTACAAGATGCTGATGGTTCGCAATAATGAACAGTGAACCATAAAAAGGTTGTAAAAAACTTTCATTTGTTTCACAAATTAAAAACGCCCGTCGAGCCCGTCGAGCCTGTCGAGCGCTCGTAAAATGTTCGCTGGCGTCCCAAAACTTTTGGCCAACCACCCTGCCGGGCTAATAGTTTGCCAGTGTAGCGCTTGGCCACGTGAACTCGATTTAGACCAAGTTTGCGGCTGGCCAAGTGCAAGAAAGTTTCGCCCAGCAAATGGCCAGCCGCAGTCCCCGCAAATGGCTGTCATAAACATGAACCTGGACGTGGAGCAAACGGGGGCCAGCTCTGGTTCCCTGCCACATTCGTCATGCACAATTGCCTTGCATTTGTTGGCGGCTTAGGCTCAAGCATTGCCACTAGATCCAACTCCAACTCCAGCTCCAACTATGATTCCGATTCCGACTCCAGCTCCGGCCACAGCTTGAAGGCATTTCACAGAAAGTCATTAGTGGGCTTTGCGCTCGACTTGAGTTTGTCGGACTGCCTGCAGATCCGACATTTTTATTGGACTTCCAATTAGCTGGGCATTCGAGTTGGTGTAAACTTGATCTATGTCTGAGTGCAGCCATGTGGTTGCATCTATAAGAGATGCCACAACTTCAGCTGAGCCGGTTCGACCGAGCGCCATGCAGGTTAATCCCAAACTTGCCCCTTCTTGGCTGGGCAGCCACTGAAATGTTCATTGAACGAGCTCATTTGAACGATTTGTGCAGCTCAGCTCTGAATCTAGCTGCTCTTTAATGATCTAATCACATGAGCTGCACATATACCGAATAGGACTTTGAGTGCTTGGTTACATTTTAATTGGCTGCACTTTTTGAAGCGCTGCAAATTGGCCGACTGGCTAATAAATTGGCCAAAAGCGCACAAACTGTGCATCTTGGCCGGGGTCCCAGCTTGAGTTTAATAACTTTATTTTAATACCGAACCAACATACACAAACACTCACACACACACACACACACACACGCTCACAGAGCCATCACCCACTCTCATGTAATTATACTTCCGGCAGATTGGGCTGCACACTTAGAGCACCTTTTGGCGCTGATGATGGAGCCGAAGCCCGTTGGGGAGGGCGTGGGGGAGAGCACTCACCTGTGTCTGAAGCGGGAGCCCAGTTGAAACAAATCCGCAGCGTGCGACTGGGAATTGGGCAGAGGTGCAACGCGCACCTGTCTGAAGAACGCATGATGCTCCACGCAGCATCTCCACAAATGTTTGCACGCCGATTTGCGTGGAGTTTCAAAGCCATAAGTGCTTAGCTCATTCTGTGAAGAAGGTAGAAGGAATAACGCAAGTGTGATAAGCACCCAGTCAAGTCACGACGATGACGATGACGAGGACGATGGCGAGAACGATGACGATGACAAGGACGGAGATGCAGACGTGGACAGACAAAAGCTGCAGTTTTCAAGTAAAGGCAAATTGAGTGAATGAATGCCCGGCTGAATTCTGTGCCGCACCAATGTAAAGTGTGAATTCTCGACCAGGAAGAAAGAAAAAAAAAAAAAAAAAAACACACATCCGACTTCAATAAAAAACGAGCAAAAAGGGAAAATGGCAAAGTTTCGCTTTTGTGTGCGTCAACTGCGGAAAAGTTTTTTGATTATCAAAGCGTTAGCACCAAAAAGTGTTCAAGTTAGGAAAGCTGACAAGGAGCTGCTAGCTGCTGGCTGGTGGCTGGCAGCAAGAGCTATCTGCTACCAGCTAACATCTACCAGCTACTTGTTGTCTAACGAGTGCTTCAGCTGCCCCACTTGAGTATGCTGACAGCCAAAAAGTTGTCACACAACGAAAAAATTGGCAACGCTGCAAAATGCTTTGAAAATGGAAACAGTTTTTCAGTGCATCGAAGCCTTTATACACTTTGCCTCTTCAGGGAAAACTGTTCTTCTCTAAGGCTTTTTGAGTGGAACTTGAAGAAAACTGTTTCTTGAATAGTTAAGGAAGAGTATATACATATGTATCTCATATAACTAAAATATTAAAATATATATCTGACTATTAGAGAACTGAAATATAATATTATATAGTTATATAATATATTGTGAATCAAAAAATATTATATTATTATTAAATTACGAATCATATTGACAAGATTGTGGCAAGTGCCACCTGATACCCTTTCTGGTAGAAACATTAAAAATTTGAGGCGAACAATAGAAAACGAACTGCAAATTGTGCGAAGCACTCGACAGCGAAATATTTATGGTTAGGAGCGAATGCTTCGTCGCCTTCGCCATTCTCGCCATCGTCGCCTTCGTCGTCCTCGTTGTCCTCGTCGTCGTCATCGTCATCGTCATCGAGCTCTGGCATTGTTGCCTGACGCGCTGAAATTTACATTTTTATCGCTTATCCTGAGCATAAAATAGCGTCCTTTATAATAAACTTTGGCAATGCGCGGCCAATAGTAATGAGCCACCGTCGTCTTGTTGCGCAGCACCACAATCCCGCTAGGCGTCAGGCCCAGAAAGTACTCCACACTGTCCTCGCCCTGAAAAGAAGCAGAAAGCAACAAAAAAATAGAATCGAGAATGAGCTAAGTTCAAGCAGAAGTTCGAGTTAGAGGCTCTGCTGGAGAACAAAGGAGAGCCAGAGAGTCTCTCGGACTCCCTTTGGCCTTTGTTTAAGCGCAAAGTTTTTGGCTATTTGTGTGTTAACAAGAGAGCAAAGTTTTGGCCAGCTTGGCCTATTAGCAGCTGTGCGACGCTTTATGGCCCACCCATGTTAACCCACTCGCATAAAGCAAAAAGCACACAAAAACAAAATAAATGTAATTTTAGCTGTTAATTAAATTAAAAAGCAGAACGAGCACAAAGACGTTCCAAAGGAACGATGGTGAAGAGGCAGAGAGACCCGTGTTGGCTCGCAACTGGCGCCGCGATAGTCAATGATTTGTGTCTATAAACAAACAGAAGTAGACGGGAGCACACATACCACAGGCATGTGGCATGTGGAGTACAAGGGCTTACAGCACCCCTTCGTACGCACTCCGTCTCCCCCCCCTGCCCCACACATGTGTAGCTGGCATACAAACACAGCTGGTGATTTATTGAGGTTTGATATCAAAGTAAAGGGCAATAAAAAATGCAAATGAAGTGCCAACTTACGCAGCACAAAAGCGACTACGACATACGAAACGGACAGAGGGGGGGGCGGGGTGGATATCGGAATGGTCTGGACTGGAGACAGACCAGGCTTGTCTGCGGACCCGGGGCACGCAGGGGCCGATCATTGCGTTGGTCCCCAGAAATGTGTGTGAGCAAATGATTTATAATATTTGCCATGAAATGAAATTAAACTTTGCATTTGCTCTGACCCCTTTTATGGCTGGCTGCTTGCCGGGCAGCAGGGGCAGGAGCAGGGGCAGGGGCAGGGGCAGGAGCAGGGGCAGGGGCGATTCGAGCTCCATGATGTGGTTGCTCTTGGGTTAGT